GGATTTGTTGTCTTCTGTCATTGCGTCAAGAAGCCAAGATTTTACCAAGTAGTTTTCATCCTCCCATGCTTCATATTCCTCCAAATGAACATCTTTTAGCGCAACCTTAGTACCCAAAATAAAACCACAATGTTTCCTCCCACGAATCTTATTTTTAGCGTTCAAATACCACTCAACATAATTGGTACCAAACTTCAATTCCTAGGGCAAAGAAGAGGAGATTGAAGGAGGCTTTGATACCATCTCAAAGAACACAATTATGGAATAATTTTCTAATACATTTCATTCATTGTAATTTATCATATATATAGTACATACAAGAAACATTTACAAGGAAAGAATAAAAGAAGTAATTATAGAATATTATAGGAAATATCCTATAATTAAGAGAGAAATAATATCTTATAATTAAGAGATAAATAATGGTAACAGTATCAATTAAAAATATTGATCATATCAAATTCTTAATTATAGGATTGACCATATCAGATTCTTAATTATAAGATGTTATCCCTTAATTCTAGCACTCCCCCTCAAGTTGGAGCATGGATATCACACAGGTCTAACTTGTCTAAAAAGTCATAAAAACATTGCTAGCTACGGCTTTGGTAAGAACATTGGCTATTTTGGCCTTCAAACTTCACAAAAGGAAATATAATGATCTTAGCTTCAAGTTTTTCCTTAATGAAGTGTCCATCAATTTCTACAACAACAACTTATACGGTAAATTCCAACGGTAGATGGCATCGTGACAAGTCAATTTACTTCATCAGCTCAAAGTTATTTGCATTTTCAAAAGATCATTACATAAATATATAGTATTCCTAAAATCTGAATGTACCCAAGAGAGAAAAAAGACTTAAAGTCAATTATCTTATGAGATTAGTGTTCTTAAAAATATTAAGCAATGTAGGTTAGCAACTTGGAGTATTAATTTGACTATACCGATTGCTAATTTTCTATGGGCATATGACCACCAAGAACAGAAAGAGGAAATGTAATTAGGATTATTGCATCATTTGGCAGTTTTCTTGCATGCCATCTTGTGTTCCATGTGACTCTTGCTTGAAGTGGCATCTAGGTTTGGTTAATGGTTATACTAATGTGAATTTCATAAAGCTCTGTGAAATGATATGGGTTTAGGGTTAAGAAGGCAATTGGTTCATCAATTTTGACATCATTTAGCTTTATTGTCTATTATGTTATCGGAGAATATACATAGTGTGTGTATATATATAATTTTTTCCAAGATGACATTTAACATTAAGTAAATTGACTCAATTTTCAGAAAATCCAATACATGATTTTGGTATATATTCAAATCATTAGTAGATAATTCAAATATCAATAGATCTTGAAGAGTTGAGACACAAGCTCAATTCAAGGCATGCGAAGTGGGTAGAATTTTTGCAAGCTTTCACGTTCGTTATTAAGCATTAGTTTGGATGGATGAATAAGGTCACTAATGCTTTAAGTTAGAGACATGCATTGCTCATGACCATTAAAGTACGGGTGAAAGGGTTTAAGGAGTTTTAGGGACTATACCGTAATGATCCTTATTTTGGAAGCATTTGGGAGAGATGTCAAGAGTGACCATATTAGCAGTTTTTGTTGTAGAAGGGTTATCTTCTTAAGGGAAGCAAACTTTGCATCCCAAACTGCTTGTTAAGAGAGGCAATCATTGAAGAGACTCATGGTGGAGGGTTAGCTAGTCATTTTGGAAAGGACAAGACAATGGTCGTGATCAGCAAACATTTCTTTTGGCTGCACATGGAGAGAGATGTGATGAGATACACTGAGCGATGTTGAACATGCCAAGTAGCAAAAACTCAAGCCAACAATGAGCTATATACTCCGTTACCAGTTCCTATGGTACGATCTAAGTCTGGACTTTGTATTGGGATTGCCGAGAACTTAGAGGAACAAGGATTCAATCATGGTGGTAATAGATCGTTTTTCTAAGATGACAAACTTCATCTTGTGTAACAAAACCTTTGATGCATCACAGATCGCAAGACTATTTCTGCAAGAGGTCGTTCGTTTGCATGGGGATTCCAAGATTGCTTACTTCAGATTGTGACATGAAGTTCATTAGCCACTTTTGGAGAACGATGTGGCAAAATATGGGGACAAAGTTACACTTCAGTTCAGCTTATCACCCCTAGATTGATGGACAGACGGAGGTGTTTAATACAAGTTTGGGAAATCTACTAAGTAGTTTAGTTAGTGATAGTTTGTGACAATGGGACCTATTGTTGCCACAAGCTGAGTTTGCATACAACAAATCATCCAACTGCACCACTAGGAAAGTCCATTTGAGGTCATCAATGGGAGGAATCCAATTACATCACTAGACTTAGCACCATTGCCAACTCTGCATCACTATAGTTTGGATGTGGAGGAACAGACAAAGATGATCAAAGATCTCATGCCCAAGTGAAGAAGTAGATTGAGAAACAAAATGAGAACTAAAAGCAAAAGACAAACCGTTATCGTAGAAGGGTAGTGTTTCAACCTGGAGACTTGGTTTGGGTCCATCTAAGAAAGGAACGATTTCTAGCAAGGAGATTTGGCAAGCTGCAATCACCAGTTGTTGGACCTTTCAAAGTGCTTGAGAAGATCAACAATAACACCAAAAAGATCAAGCTGCTAGGCAATTATGGAGTCTCAGGTAACTTTCATGTGTCTGGTCTATCGCCTTACCAAGAAAAACGCGTTGAAGAACAAGCAGAAGAAGACGATGTTGATTCGAGGTCAAATCTTTTTCAAAGGAGGGCAAATAATGTAGGAGCATCGCAGTAGGTCGTTGATAGCGATATGTAGGCAAGGCGAGCTTGATTAGATCACACAGTGAGCTTTAACGAGAAAGGGTTGTGTGTTCTAACTAGCAATGAGTTACAAGCTGAGCTTAGAGACTTAGGAAAATAAATGTAAATGCTTTACTTTTGTGTAATATTCTAGAACATGACATGTTTACGTAGGAGAATTAAAGTACGGACACTTGGCATTAGGGTTGATAAGATTGGGACAAGTGTAGGATCTCTGTTAGGGTTCTTTTTAGGGTTTTGTGCACCTATTTAAGGGCACTATTCACAATATAGCCGACAACTTTTGACAAGAAATATACATAAATTTTCAAGTAACCTTTGTGGTGACTTACCAGAATCCTTTATGGGTTCATCGTCCTTAGTGGGCGTGTATCAGTGAGTCCTTGGTGGGCTTATGCTGTCTTGTGTGGGCATTTATCTATCGTTGATCGATCGTGTTTTAGCTCCACTGAACGCCCTGATCTCGACAAGGACAAATTACCCCTAGTTCCCTGCATCATTTTAGGTCAGGTGAAAATATTTTTTAGCTTCTTTATACAATACGAGGGAAACATAATTGATTTTGTTCACAATACCGTAATTTTTCACCGCGTGGTGCAATGTTAATTTTTTCTAGTTATTGAGCGAGAATCTCCGTTATTTTGATTTTGTATCCCTCCATTCATGCACCATGGAGAATTTCCGCCCTGCCGACATCCTGAATTATTTAAAGATATCATGCACCTTGAAATTAAAAATATTTCTCATAAATATTGTACAATCAAGTCAAATCGATCCTTCAAGAGGAGATGAAAAATATTGTAAGTTACAAGTTACAAATTGACACAACTTTAATTTGCTATATATCAGGCTCTATTAGCATTATTTCAGGGAAGGGGTCCATCATATGTTATTCCAATTAATTTTGTACTCAAAGCCAATCATCGTGAATGTTTATGTAACATGTTTTTCTTCTTGTATTGTATGAAATTTTTTTCCACCAAAGGCTATATCGGTAACAAGCTATATAAGCTTTTTCATAAGACAGCTGTTCCATCCTAACTACTTTCATGATAGAACTGGCCAATTAATTATATAAGTTCTAGCTACTTCCTTACAGGACTCAAGGTCATTAATTCTTTTAAAAGTTTGTATGTGTTTGGATAGAGAAATTGATTAGCTTCATTATAAAGAAATAAATATAACATCTCTCATTTTTATTTTTTTTAAATGCAGCTTCGTTTATTGCCGTCGTTTAAGAGTTTGTTACTATCGATTAATGCTAAATGACGAAAATTTAGTCAAAATTTTCACATTGAAAGCTGCAAAAAAATTTCTTTTGGCGGACACCAATTAATAGGAATCCGGTGGTGAACCAATTTACTATGAGTTCAATTAATAAATTAAAGAAGAATTAAAATACACTCAGATCCACAGTAACCAAAATACACAATATAATTGTGAAAATTATCAAATATCTAATATCCAACAAAGTCACCAAAGAAATAATGTTAACTTTGACCCTCCAGATCCGACAAAGGGCGGAGCTGGTATATAAAACTTAATTAAGTTTGGATTTTTCAAAACTATTCATCTTACGTTAGTCAAAATCCTTGAATAAAACTTTCTTGAATATCTATTGTGATGAAATTGATATAAAAACCCCACTCGGCTCAATTATATGTAGTATAATAATCTTCAAAATAGAAAATAATGGGATGACTGTGGACCAATCACCAATGGGCATATTGATGGCATGCGACTATATTCCCTGATGTTTCTAGATAAAGTAGTTGGTTGTAACTTGGTTTAATATTGAACATATAATTGTTGTGTCCCTATATTCTTTAATATTGAACATATAGTGCTTGGGGAAACTAACAATTTCGTCTCTAAGGTTTAACCTAAATAAAATATGTATTTTTTTTTTTTTTTTTAGCAACTTCCAAAACTTTCTCCCATGATTTTTGGGATTTTATTTGTTAGTTTCTGTGTTGGACGAGGTGATACCGGTTTCCTGTTAGGTATATAAGGATTTCTCTAACAAAGCATATGTTAAAGAACTTTCGGAAGCTACCGTTTCATGCAACGAAATCTACCAATTTGAGAAATCTGAATTAAACTTCACACGTGCGTTTTAAAAAGAAGCAATAACTAAATGGGCTGTACTCAGAGAGAAGATGATAACCACACAAATTTTATTAATGAACGTTAATGGAAATGTAACAATAAAGAAGATGTAGGCCAAACATCATGAAAAGTAGAATATTGTAAAGTGAAAAATAACTTGAAATAAATTGATTGATGACAGATAGAGGTGATTTAAGAGCAGTCGAAGCCAGAAGGAGCTTTCTTTCCACAATAATCGAGAACCAAGCTCAATGAAACGGGAAAGTTGAGGTTAAAGCCGAGGATATTTGCTTTAATGGCAGTGCAAAGGCAAACAGCGGCTTCCAGATCAATCAAACCGTCGAGGATACTGCAGCAAGGGGTCTTTGGTGGACCTCCAACAACAACTTGCCCCAAACCACCCAACACGCTAGCGCATACACCCAACTTTAGGGCATTCCTTGGGCAGTGCTTGTGATGTTTTTTGTTCTTAGGTTCTGGTGGTGAGCAAGGGCCATAGTTAGCGCTTACCAAAGTGAAGAATAGAAGGTTGAGGACAAGGAGAAGGGCCTTTGATGCTAGAGCCATTGCCATATTAGCTCAAACACACCTAAATTATTGGATGGTTAGCCAAGTAGAAGTGAGTGGTGGAATACTGTGAGGAAGGCCAAGGCTTTTTATAGGTGGAGATTGATAATTGTTTGGGTTTTAATTATCTTTTTTATTTTTTCTTCTTTTCTTTTGGAGGAGACTACTCATGTGGGCACACTAGACTGGAATAACAAACACAACCACAACATGAAAGATAAGCATTTGGAATTGTAGAGTTTGGAGTTTTCTGCATTTTTTTAGTTGTCAATTCTCTCACAAAACAAATTAATCTCATGAGATGGTGAGGAAAGAATTAATAATATTCTAAACCTAGCAAATCCTAGATCTTCAATTATGCAATTAATCAAAATCGAGAAAGTAATGATGTTTAATCATTACCTTAAACACGATTTTCAGGATGATTTACTCACTAAATACATTATATCACCGCCCTCTCCAATTTAAGGTTCTTTCTGTGTATTCAATAGCTGTCATTTGGATGTAACTCACTCCCCATCTGGCCTAAAATACATAAGATTATAGAATTACTGATCTCCCAATTATACACAGGTGTTTATTTAAAAAACAAAAAGAAAAGCATATGCTGTAACTAATTAAATGTTCTCCTAAGAACACACACACACACACACACATATATGTAATATGTAGATCTCAGAAAAATTGAATTTAAGTTGTAATACCTGATTAATATAAAAACAATTTACCCCAATTTAAATATTAATATTTATGTATTATAACACTTGTAAGCATATGCAATATTAATGTTTGTGACCACAACATCATTGATTATCAGTTTTTCTCTATTTATCCTTTATTTAAGCTAATATAAACCTAATTGAATAGATCCTTAATTACACATAAATAAAAGTATACCTGTAGCTTAAATAAGTTTAGATAGAAGAGGATCATATGGCTTTCCACATTTGGCCTTCAAATTCCATGCATGTTCCCATTTCAGCCTCCGGGAGCTTCCAAATTCCTGTTGATTCTTATCTAGTCTCTTGATGGGCTAAATATTTCACTTCATTGGTTAGGGTTGCGGGTTTCGGTCATAGGTGTTGGGCTTATCAGGTATTACGCTTTATACAAACATTTAACTTAGAATTAATCATGAAAACGTTCGAGAAATATTTAACTATTTAAAGTCACAACGCCATAAGACACTGTAAATTGTTCTGTTCCAATTTACAGAACGTCGATTTTCTTTCAACTGCATGATATTTTTTTTTTTTTTTTTAATTATTCATAAAAGAGTACTGCGTTAATGGTTACCATTTGAGGAATTAAAATTTTATGCCATGCCAAGTAAACGTTGATCTAAACTCTAGGAACCACCCATACATGCAATTGAAAATCACAATTGTTTCCTAGTAAGAAGAAATTAATATGATCTACTGACCAACCAAATGGGGGCCTCCACCAATTCTCCAAGTCACCCACGTTATCTTCATTCCATTTACTGATGTTTTTCCAATCTCGATGCCAAGACATTTCCATTAGGGTACCCAACTTTGGTTCCCATTCTTGGTTCCGATTTCAGTTTCGATTCCTGCATGGGCAGGAATCAGAACTAAACCCATATAGTGTCAGTTCCAAAAAATTGGAATTGGAATCAACCCTATGAATGCTGGTTTTGGTTTTACCCGCTACCCATACTCATCTCTAATGAGTCGAGATATCAAACCTGTGTACATATTTGTCTCTTTCATGGTAAGCATTTTCTGGAAGGTAATTGGGAAAGGTAAAGATTATAAAGACTTTAGGCAGGCAATTGAGACATTCTTTCCTATTAGATTTAAGATAAAATTTAGCACATATTATCATCATTAATACCCATCATTATTTATCATCCTTTTAACCATGATATCCCAATTAATATAGGATTCCATAATATTAGGAAGACATTCTGAAGGAATAATATAATAAATATTCTATAAAATATACTTGTAATTTACCTATTACAATTGTTTTTTTTTTTTTTTTTTTTTTTTTTTTTTTCACTTCAATCCTTGAAAAGTAAACAAACTTGAGAAAAAAAAAAATTTGAAAATAAACGATTCTGCATAATGGAAAAGGTTAATGGAATTATTATTATTATTATAATGTGGGCGTGCTTCTTTTCATGGACACTATTTCTTGCGAAAAGACTGAGGCATTGCATAGACACAGTACTAATTTGATTAATTTTAGTAAATTGTTGTGGAGATTAGGGAAAATGGTTGTACCATGATTCTTAATAGAATCATAAATTTCAACAAAATAACAAAATTACATTCTTTTTCGAATTAAATAAACCAAAAGAGAAAAAAGACGAGAAAGAAGGTGACAAGGCGCCTTCGATCTAATAAAAAACGATTGTAAAAGTGAAGTAGAAAATGCTCGAGTCCAAACAAACCATACATAAAATCAACGTGCCTGAGATGATGACAAGCAGGGAAGATTAACTTATGCGCATTGGAAACCGGAGGGAACGTCCTTGCCACAGTAATTGAGCAGTAAGCTCAATGAAATGGGAATGTTTAGGTTGACAATACCCAAGACATTAGCCTTAAGGGCAGAGCAAAGGCAAACAGCGGCTTCGAGATCAACCAAGCCCTCAAGGAGACTACAGCATGGCTTCTTTGGTGGCTTACCAAGTTCAACGTTCAATAAGCTCTTCAGCACATTAGCACAAACACCCAACTTTACGGCATCTCTTGGGCAAGTTTCCTTTGAGGGCTTGGGCTTGGGATGACCATTGTGATTGTAGTCTTTAGGCGGTGTTGGTGTGCAAGCTGGGACATTGGTGGAGGTGACCAAAGTGAAGAAGAGGAGATTGAGGGCGAGGAGGAGGGCTGTTGATGCTAAAGACTTTGAAGCCATATCTCAAAATTAAAAACAATCGCCTAAACCTTCAAAGATTGTGAATGTTTAGAGAGAATTAATTTGAGTGATGGAACTGGTAAAGTAGGCTAGGGTTTTAATAGGAGGAAACCGTGATCTGTTTGGGTTTAATAAATATATATATACCATGTGAACATATTATCCTGATGGAACAAGACACCGCACTGCGGTGCAAGTTGTAAAATAGCATATAAACAGATTATTTTTTCCAGGTTCGCACAAGACAGATCGAATATTCTTGTTACATGATTGAGTTATAAATATAGGGTTTGGCGTCATCATGTGATTGGTTCTTTCATTTTTTTTCCTACCTTTGGTTTGATATTATATAAATTTAATGAAGTGAAAATTAATGTAAATGATGTGATCTCTTTTGGATTTTTCTGATAAATTGATAAAAGGTTATTCTTATAGTAATTTGACTATAATAGGTGAGTAAGCAGTCAAGATCGGAGCTCTTTTGGATTTTTCTGATAAATTGATATAAGGCTATTCTTATAGTAATTTGACTATGATAGGTGAGTAAGCAGTCAAAATTGGAGGATTCATATATATATATATATATAGTTGTATGAGTAGTAGTACACATTTATTATCAATAATATTACAAATACAAAGAACTCTTATAAAGATATACACACAAAGTGATGTGACTGAAAATAAATGATAGAGTAAATATAATGAGTTTGAGTTTTTATATTCATTCTTTTATTTTATTTTTTTGACACCATTTTTTATGTAAATTTTTATAAGATTACTTTGTATGAGTAGTAGTACTCATTGATGATTTTCTGTGTTCAGGGTTGTTGAATCCTTTTTTGTAACCAAGGGACACATGTGATAGTGATTAATTAGTGAAAGATAGATATATAATATTCCAAACCTGATATATGAGAACAATATTTACTCCTCCTACATTGGGAACAAGCGATAGGGTTTTGTTTTCTTATAGTCAACATCTCTTTCAAGATCATTCATAGGTAGCATAGTCAAAAATGGGAGGAAAGAAGAACAAAAAAATAAAAAAACTATCGACCGTGTCATGAAAGCTAGACAACCTTGGTTGTGAGCTGAAATTGTTAATGGCTTCAACCAAACTTTTAATTAATATAACAACCTGCGCAAAATAAATAAACAACAATGTTGATGAGTTCACTAAGGAATTGACTCAAAGTTGGTTCCTCTACCTTCAAATTTATACCTTTGATCGTCAAAGTATATATTTCCAATAGCATTAAGGGTGCGTTTGGATCATATAATGTTTTTTTATCTTAGTAATAAGATTACCGGAAAGATAGATTACTTTGTAGATTACTGGGTTTAAATTATTACTGTGCTTGGCTCAATTGGGATGTATTAATAATTAATGTGTTTGGTTAACAATAATAACAGATATTCTAAAATGACCTTTTACTAGAATGCCCTTTGAAAGATTACTTGTATTACTAATTAATCTGTTTAGTTGGCTGTAAGAGCAGATGTCTTGATTAAATTTTACTAAAATACCCTTTAGATGATTATTGGGTATAAATAATTAATGTGTTTAGTTAATAAAACAAATGATCAATTAACAAAATTCTTTTTCTTATATCTTAGCCACGTATTTTATTGTTAAGTCATTTATTGACAAATTTACATAGACTATTGAAACTCCGAAAAAAAAGCTATTGTATTTTCTGTTTGGAGCAAACGGATGGAGACGAAGACCCGAGGTTGCTGCGGCAGAGATGGTCGACCAACGGCAGAGGGAAGAGGGAGAAGTTAGACTAACAAACACAAACAAAATAGAAAACGAAAAATACAATGGAAAGAGGGCGAGGGACTTATCGAAAATGGCGATTGGAGTGCTATCCAGATCAAACAGATGGAGACAAAGACCCAAGGTGCTACGACGAAGATGGTCAACCAACGACAGAGGCAAGAGCAAGATCTTAGACTAACAAACGTAAAACAAACTCAAAATGAAAAATAAAATGGAAAGAGGGCATTTGACTTACCAAAAAATGGCGATCGAAGTGATGAAGTTGCGAACAAGATTGAGAAGAAGAAGACCAGCGGCGACAATGAAGGTTTAGGGCAAAGTCTCGGTCGAAATGTGTATTAGGATTGAGAATTTTTCTCTTTTTATATTGTAGTTTTAGTGAAATAAAAGGGCATATTGGTCACAATATGCAAATATATGAGGATAATATGGGCACATCAATATTTCATGGCATTTCTGAAAATATTGATAATAAGTAGGGCAATTTTGTCCAATAAATTAAAAAAACTGAGGACAAATCCGCTTCTTGTGCAAATTGGGTGTTTTGTAATTATTAACAAAGCCAAGGATATTTTTGTCCACATTGTCCTCTATTTGGGGGCAAAATTGGACAAAAATTTGGATTATCAGAGTAATATTTTAATAACACCCTCCCCCCAGGTAATATTATTCCCGGCGATTTACCCCCAATTTTGCACTGTTTGACATCTTTTTTACAGGAATTTTTTTTTACAAAACAACCAAACATGGTTATCTACTCAATTTAAAATATATTATCCCCGTTATATAATATAAACCCGATCCAAACGGCCCCTAAATTATATTTCTTTGGCATTTCATATAAACTATTGAAATTTGATGAATTGTTGCAATACCAAATTATTTGATATACATAAAGTGAGAAAAAACAAAGTGAAGATAATGGGCAATAGGTTGTTCAAGGCAATGATTAATCCTCACCATTGAAAACCCGTGAACACATAATAATTGGAACAAAGAAAAAAATCCTTATCTTGGAGTTTTTTTTTAATGCATGATACATATAGGTGAACCATCGCTTTGCGATCTAACTGCACATGTTGGATCAATTATTCAAGGAAATACAATAATTTAAACTTAGAAGAACAACCACAGTTTCTTAGTATTAGTATAGTGGGGTGTGTTTTGCAATTCTTTAGAATTTATATGTTTGGTACTCATGTGGGGTGTCTTTTGTAAAGTCTAAAAACTTAGAGTTTAAAACTCTATGTTTCAGTCCAATGACTCTAAATAAATTAGCCACCTCTTGTAACTAATTCAATTAATGAATCTCCAGAAAGTTTCAGCTAGATTCTGTTTCTTCCACTCTTGCTCTTAAAGTCATTCATGGTATCAGATCCCTAGACCAATGTCAAGGTGCTTTTTGATCCTAATTCTCTAACCAATTTAGCTAATTTAACTTCTAGAACAATGGATATTGATAATGACTCCGCCATTTCAAGCAATTCAAACTTTCCTCCCACTCTACTAGCAATTTTAGTACAGTTGTAGGAGAAGAACTATATCTTTTTGCGATCTCGTATTCTCCCAGCTTTGACCTCTCATGGCCTTGATGGCTTCATGACTGGAGAAAAGAGTTGTCCTTTGTTGTTCTTACTTAAAAAGGTACTTTGCTTGGAAGAAGGTTGATCAATTCTTGGTAAGTTGGCTCTTATCATCTATGTCTGAAGTTATGTTTCGTCATGTAGCAAAATGTGGCACTTCTTGTGAGATTTGGAACCTATGAGAATTACATTTTCAATCGGTATCTAAAGCTAGAACCTTAAATTTGTGTAATATGTTGCAAAGAACTAAGAAAGACTCTACTACTATAAGTTTATGTGCTAAAGATGAAGGAACTAGGCGATGAGTTAACCTCGAGTGGTGTTTATATAAGTGATGAAGAACTCTTATTGTACATTTTGGATGGGTTGGGACCTGAATACGATGCAGTTGTGGCTAATCTTGTGGCAACCAGTAGTCAAACAACTTTGCAAGAGGCCCGATTCTTGCTACATAAGCATGAAATAAGACTTGAAAAACAGAACAATTCCTTTACTAATTACCATGATCAATTGGTTTCAGCTTTAATGGCTGCCAAGTAGGTCTCTAATGAATCTGCTTTAACCCCTCAAAATGTCAATATGAACACTAATTCTACTAAGAACCTACACTCGCAACAGATGGTTAATTTTCCTTTACAACATTAGACTTATTCTATACCGCAACACCATAATTTTAGTTCTCAACCACCACGTACTAATGTCCCTTCATTCTTCGGCAATAATATGAACCAAACAAATTTCAGACCTGATTTTCATCAGTCTTCAGACACTTTACAGTTCCTTCCCTCTGCCAACTTCATGTTTAATCCCCAAGGAATGCAAGGTCAAGCTAGGGGAAGAGGTTTTTATCGACCTCGATTTATTTATCAGGTATGTGGCAAAGGAAGGCATACTGCCCTTCAATGCTATCACAAGTTCGATCATGGTTGTCAGGGGTTTGTCAATCTTGCCAGTTAACTAACTCCCCAAGAATCCTTTCAACATCAAGTTACTAATCTAACTCAAACAGCTTAAGCTTTTTTGACTAGTATTATAACAAATCAGTCTAGACAAAACTCTACTTCAGCTTTTCATCTTGCTAATTCTGTCTTTTTTGGATATGCTGGACATAATCAACCTCAATACAATATGACTGGTTACAGTGGACATATTCACTCTCAACAAAATGTGAATTATCAACCTGGTTTTTCTGCTCATTCTACTGCTGCAGTTCCTAGCTCCAGTTCTATTCCAGGAGGTGGGCACTCTTCCACAGTGTCTACAACATCAATCTCTTCAAATATACCAGTTGCCACTCCCCAAGTTCTCATTGACCAAACCTGGTATGTGGACTCAGGAGCCACAAACCATATGACTATTGATGCAACAAATCTGGTAGTAAAAGACAACTACTAAGGAGGCTCCATAGTTTAGTTAGAAATGGCCAAAATGTGCCCGTGACACATACAAGTGAATCCTTATTGCCCTCTACTACTTGTCCTTTGCTATTATATCTTAGGAAGATGTTGTGTTTTCCACATATTGCAAAAAATGTATTAAGCATTTCTCATATTATTAGAGATAATTATGTAATAGTGGAATTTCATTGTGACTGTTGTCTTATAAAGGATAAGTTCACTAAGATGGTGCTCTCCGACGATCCTTAAAGGATGGCCTTATATCAATTGCAAGTCACTCTTCATATAGTTAATTTAGCTTTTATCTCATCATCCTCAACCTCACCTGCTGCTACCACAAC